TGATTCCTGTTCCTGTAAAAACCTCTCCAATCTTTGGCCACGCACTGACGTTGAAGAGAGATCCACACGGTACGTATGTATGAAGTGTATTCATGCATGAGATTCCAATATTTCGTTTTGACATCTTACATACGAAAATTTTGAAAAGAACAGTAACAATTCCCTGGCTTTTAATTTTTAAATAAAGAATTTATACGCAAGTTAAAGATTTGTGGTTAATTAAGTAGTAATTTCTAGAAGGTCCTATTTCTCCCTACATATGGACTATCTCTGGTCTAGCTGTCATAGTTATCCCATGCACTAATATTACCTCGGGCAAGGTCAAGGCCTCAGCAGAACAAGGCAGTCTTTACCAGCCATGTTAATAGTCATAAAGTCCATATCTGACTGAACTCTGGCAACTTAGCATGTGAACAACGTATACCAAACTTGTGTGTTACGGCCAATTGAATCTCCCCTGACGGTCTTTACCTTCACGTGGACTAGAACAATGGCCCCCTTTTTCTGCAAGGATTTTGCCCGTTTACCATGTATGCATTGGTCATTCGCAAGACCTCAGCCAATGCGCCCACAACGCTGGTCAAATATTTAAAGGGTTTTTTTATTGAAAGGTAGCGATAGATATCCGCGTTTTAAAAATAATTATAATAACCAAAAACTAAAAAAGATACTGATACGTTATGTTCATTCATATGTTAGTTATCTCTAGATAGTCTATCGATATTCTTTTTGGAGCTTGTAATGAATTGCTGTGATTAAACAATGGCAGGAAGTGCTGTCTTTCTCAAAAACACCTCACTAAGCGAAGTGCAATTGTCATTCTGGTCAAAAACGCGACCTGATGACCTGACTTAGAGATTCGACGGTTCAGTCCGCCTGTTCCCCTGTTATCTAGAGGTCCACCTGTTCCTCTAGGTAAAACTTCTACACTTTTTTTTTAGCGCTTCCTGCCCAATTTATATGCCACAAAAATGTCTCAATGTTTTGTTGCTTTGCTAAGTTGCCAGACGTTCAAAATGCTTATAAAGAATCTCAACATTTAAACTACATTAAATGGGAGTCATTTAATTGCCATTAATGACTGTTATTTATATGTAATCAAATAGAACAAAATACACAAAAGATATCATGATTCATACGTGGTCGCCATGACTCACACACAAGTACAGAGAGATTTTACAAGTCATGTGATACTTGACAATCACTTCATGAAAATATTACTATATGCATTGTCACGTTTGCCGGGAAGAACGAACAAAAACTGAGAACAGTGTTAAGCATTTTTAAACTTTTAGTGAACTATAGTAATTTAAACTTAACAAAGTAGATTAACATTATTCTATTTCTTAATCCCTGAGCCGGTGCTAAGCATCGGGCGAGGGTATTAATTCCACCCGGAGATTTAACTTACGCCCGGGAATGCAAATGCGCAATCAAAGTTGTCCGCCATTACGTCATGGACGTTGGGCGTTTTTGTAAGTTTCGCAGAGTCAAAGTGTTCGCGAGAGCCAATAATGACCGCACAGAAGTATTTCAAACAACTGTGGCACTTCGCTACAATTTACGCCTTCCGTCTGTGAATATCCCTGTGCTATGAGAATTGCTTTGAACCTTTCAACTGAACCGCCTGCATTTCGTTTGACTTATAAACACATCGACTATCAGTGATATTCTTGTCTCCTGGTGGAGGTATACAAGGTCCCATGTATTGTTGTTCTCCATTAATTCATTAAATTCTGAGTCTGTGACCTTTTTCGACTATTTATTATAATTTCCGTTCCATGCTTCCGTTCAATGTCAGCTGCCAAGCCCAGAATTCAGTTGGCATGTTTGAGTGAGCTAGCATCGACCGTACACTCCCGACTATAGTGCGATTCATTCTCTCAACTACGCCGTTCTGGCCTGGGTTTTAGGGTACCGTTAACTGCATGGTAAACAATTCCGTGACTCTTCAGATACGCGTTCGATGTTTTCGAGCATAATAATGAGAGTTGCCAAAAGAAGGAGTTGACATTGGACAACACACAACACCGTGAATAGTTATATATATATATATATATTTGTGCTTTTTTTGCTCTTAATTGAGCCATGTTTCACTTGTGGATATATATATGTAAGGTGTGTTTGTTCTTCTACACAAGTATGACCAACCGGGCAAGCAGAAAATTCTACTTGACCGCGGTGGGAATCGAACCCGCGACCTTCGCATTTTTAGAACGATGCTCTACCGTCTGAGCTACAAGGCCAAGTTGGGAACGACTGTGATTTTGCTTGAGTTGTTATTGACAATGCGGAGTTTCGTCCTTTTCGGAGTTTCGTTATGCAGTTACTTCTGCAAATGTTGATATATATATTTGTGCTTTTTTTGCTCTTAATTGAGCCATGTTTCATATATATATATATATATATATATATATATATATATATATATATATATATATATATTATATATATATATATATATTATTATATATTATATATATATATATATATATATATATATATATATATATCTTTCATATATATATATATATATATATATATATATATATATATTATATATATTTAAAATGCCAATATTGCAGTTGAAACTGAATTACATTGGTTTACATGAATATAGTTAATGGTCTAAAAATACTAATTATTTACAAGTCATAGCTATTTACACATAAAACCTATTTAAAACTATAGAGTTATAGGCCCTGCTACCGGCCATTATAAAACTATTGGCAAACCTACTTGTCCTATGTTTTTGGATTGAAAGGCAATTATCATTACGCAGAGATGTAACCTGTTCTGTGTCTCGGTGGAACAAGGGAATGGAGTTTATGGGTTGTTTCGTGACACATTTGAACAAAAAGTTTGTCACATATGGTCTTTCTCCGTAGAGACAGCAACACCACCCCAGCGCGTACTAACGCATCTTCGTAGTTGAGGTCTGGGAAGATTATACGAAGGGCTCTGCGTTGAATACTTTCTATCTCGTCGCCCAAATATTGCGTTAAGCTGTAATGCCATACCTCGCACGAAAATTCTAGGATTGGACGAATGCACGTAGTATAAACTCGAACTAACTTGTCCGTTGGTATAGAGGATCTCTTAAGTAATCGTAAAGCATACAATCGCTTCGAAGCTTTCTTGCAGATATAATTGACGTGCTCAATCCATTTAAGATCGTTGGAGATCATGACGCCGAGTAATTTGGCATGCGAAACCACATCAATCTCCTGATCGCCGATGATGATCGGTGGAATAGTCTCAGTATCAAGAGAGAACCCTACACGAATTTCTTTAGTTTTCTTAGGATTCAATTTCATATTATTCTCAGAGGCCCATTTGGTAGATTCCGTAATTTGAGACGGTAAAACGGAATCAAGGTCTTGACTCTTTGAGACGATCTCCCATATAGTTGTGTCGTCAACGAATTTAACCGTATCGTCAGAAACATTCAAGTCGTTCACCATGATGAGGAAGAGGAGGGGGCCCAGTTTTGTTCCTTGGGGAACTCCTCCATTGATAGTCCTCCAGTTCGAAAAGTTAGAGCCAATTCTTGTTCTCTGGCTTCTGTCAGTAAGAAAATTGGCGATCCAATTGATTAAAATAGGGTGAATGTCCATGTTGACGAGTTTCTGCATCAGAATGTTAAAATCGATTCGGTCAAATGCTTTGGAAAAATCTAGCATGCATATCCGTAGGCAGGCTCCAGGTGTATCCATCGCTTCGTACCATTTATGGAGTAGATGTATTAGCGCCATGATGGTATTAGATCCTTTAATTGAACCAAATTGGAGTTTATCAATTTGGTCGTGAATAGACTGCAGGAGCCAGTTGTATGGGAACGACTCCAAGATCTTGCTTACTATGGGCGTGAGTGATATAGGTCGGAAGTCAGAGTCGACATCCAAGCCAGGAGAGGACTTTGCCGCAGGGATAACATTTGCTGATTTCCACAGGGATGGGATATAACCGTCATGGATGGATGAATTGAATATGGCTGCTAATGGGCGACATAATGATGAAGAATTTTCGCGGAGGAACCAAGACGTAATTTCGTCGGGGCCTGCAGCTGAAAAGAGTTTGACGGATTGCAGTGCCTTCTCGGTGTCGTTAACTGAGATGTAAAATTCGGGAGGAACATCGCTGACTTCGAGAGGAGTCCAAGCAAGCGGTGGCAGAGAATTTCCAACAGCAACAAACTTGTCATTAAACAGGTTGGCCAGAGCCAAACCGGAATAGGGCTGGCCGTTGTACACAAGTGTTGAAACGTTTTTAGATGGAGCAAGGCCAGCAATATTTTTAACAGCGGACCACCATTTCCGTGGATTCGACTGGGTAGTATTAGCGACATTATTGGAATAGTACTTTGACCGAGCACGCCTACACAAAGTATTGATTTTGTTCCTATAAAATCGAAACATTGGCTTATTTCCGCTTGGCGTTTCGATATTAATCTTTTTATTTCCGAGGTAATCCAGGGCTTATCGCTACTGTCAGATTTAACGCGTTTCAGCGGAAGAAATTTCCTAACAATACCATCGACAATAGAAGAGAAGTATCGGAACTGTTCGTCACAAGAGCTCAGGTGATACATTGGAGACCAATTAAGGTTTGATAGGGCTTCGGTAATTAACCTCCGATTAGAAGGGCGTGCATCTCTAATCGTTCGGAAGGACCGCGAGTTCCTGCTGTGAATCAGTGGATTAAGTAAAACCGAGCTATGGTCTGAAAATCCGAGGGGGGCGACAACTTCAGGAACATCGTAAAATTTCGCAATGTTCGTGAATATTTTATCCAGAATGTTAAAACCTCTGGTGGGCTTCTTCACGATCTGTTTTAGGGAAAACGAATTGCAGAGTTGGCGATGTTTAAATTGATTGAAGTCGCCAGTTAAAATAATAGCTGCTCCTGGGTTGGCTGTTTGGGCACGGTCGAGGGACTCGGTAAGGTAAGACAGCATGGGCCTATTTTCGCCATTTGGTGGATGGTAAATGGCTCCCAATATGATTGAGTTAATGCCACGTGGTGGGCGTCTTGGTTTAATCAAAAGCCACAAAGCTTCGAAATCAGGGTTTGAGAGTTCCTTCAACTGTACGACAGGTAGGCAATTTTTAACGTAAGCGCACACGCCTCCGCCCCTTCTACCATCATCCCGATCGCGCCTAAATGTCGAGAACCCACTTAAATTTATCACTGAGCTATCGACGTTAGGAGTGAGCCACGTTTCGGTAATCACTACAATGTCAACAAGGAGATTGGAGACGGTACCCGAGAGTTCATCAATCTTGTTCACAAGCGACCTCGAGTTAGAAAGCAACAGGGAAGGTAGAGATTTTCAACGCACGTCGTTCATAGGTATATTGATTAGGTTGCATGGATCGACGTGCACTGTTATCTTTATTATTTACTCGCCTTTGATTAACGATATTTGCGTGTAGAACATGACTCTCGTCTATGCGATAATTTCGCCCGGTATCAAGGTTATTACGGTTATCGCATTTATTTCTGTAAGTAATTCTAGTTGGTATTCTCATCTCTGCTGGCTGATATTGTTCCATGTTACTCGATGAACATAGTGAAGGTATTCCTTCCATGACTTCATTTGTTCTACGGGATCTATTCGAAAACTTGAATTGGGCTTTACCTAGGGCTTTATAGACGTTGGCAGCTGCCTGGACTGTCTGGTCCAGGGCGGTCTCGGACGGTGGTTTCTCCTTGGGCGGTGGTTTCTCCTGGACGCTTTTAATAAAAAATTTTGATCTCGGTTTCTGACTAGATGTAGATCTGTTATGGGAGGATGATTTGGGTCTTGACTTGCAGATGCAGACGGCTTCTGTGTACGCAACCGATTTTTTTTAGAGTTGCTTATATTCTTGCATCTGTACATCAAAGGAAGGCCCAGGCGTTTTTATTTCGCTTAAAGGGCTCGTGGTGGGCAACGATGCACTTCTTTTAGTTAGGGGATTTGTTTGTCGGTTTAATCGATCCATTCGACTTGTCGATGACGGGCATGTTAATACTGCCTGTGAATTTGCGTAGTCGTTCACGTCTTCGAGTACAATTTCGCATGAGTCGGCCACAGTTTGATTAATCGGTTGACCGATTCCTATTGATGATAAAGGAAGGACTGTTGCTGCCGGCGAATTTGCATGGGGAGTCACGGCTTTATCTACACTTTCGTTTAGGTTAACCGCAGGTTTACGCTTAGCCAGCTCGATTGTTAGAACCTCCAGGGTGTCAGAAAGTAGACTGTTCTCATCCCTTAAACGCGTTGTTAATTCTGCTTCGTTTCTATTCGCAGTATTCGAGATAAACATGTCCTTTGTCAAGCTATTAACTGCAGTAATTATCGAGTCGAAACCACTTTGCATTTTGTTTATGTCCGCTTTAACTAAGTTCAGAGTTCTTTCCTGATTCGATTCAGCAATGGTCATATCATGTTTAATTTCTTCTAGATCAGCCGATAGATTGCTGCAGATACACGGAGAAGAACTACGTGTTTCTCTCCTAATATTCGAATGATTAGCGGCCATAGCTCCATCTGTAGCAAGGCTTTCAGAATACAAGGCTTGAAACAGCTTTCATTGGATAGGTTCTGCGTTCACTCCTTGGATCTGCAAAAGTTTCTTTTTACTCCACCAGAGAATAGTTGGATATTCTCCACAATATAAAACTTTCTTCTCGCCACCAGGGGAGAACCACTCGCCTTCGAGCTGAAGATAATCAGCGGCCAAAAGTTTCACAGACGCAAAATCGCCAATCCAAGCAAGCTTGAGATTATTTTGTAGATCAGAGATTTCATATGCACTTCCATGATTTAGCTTAGATGATGGGTTATTACAATTTGTGGTCATAGGGGATGTATTTGAATCAATATAGTCGGAGCCCATATATATATATATTTATATATATATATATATATATATTTATATATATATATATATATATATATATATATATATATATATATATATATATATATATATATATATATTTATCACATACTTGTGCCTTTATCAGGGCGATAACAGGGTGACATAAAAACGATATCGTCACTGATATCGCTTTTTGTCACTGATATCGCTTTTTGTCCCGCTGCATTTGCCGCTGTCAAAACAAAGATTGCTGACTCGAGCAGTTAATTCGAGGTTTGTTTCAGCCGATGTCGATTGCTTTATAGAAGAAAAAGAAGTATGTGATAAACAGGTTATCACAATCGGGACGAGGTGATATCAGTTTTATCGCTTTCAGTACGATATCATAAATGTCCCTCGTTCGCTGCGCTCACTCGTGACATTTATGATATCGTCCCTCAAGCGATAAAACTGATATCACATCCCTCCTCATATGATAACCTATATATATATATTATATATTATATATATATATTATATATATATATTATATATATTATATATATATATATATATATATATATTATACACCCATTTGCAAAAACGTTAGCTGCAGATAGATAAATAGATAGATACTCGAAATCTAATTAGAATTGCATATGTTGTGTAATATGATTGAAATCCCATGCAAATGACTTCGAGTATCTATCTATCTATCTATCTGCAGACAACGTTTTTGCAAATGGGTGTATATATATATATATACACACCAGTATATATATATACAGTATATACACCAGTTTCTATATATATATATATATATATATATATATATATATATATATATATATATATATATTTATTTTTTTTTTATTGAGCTTTTGACTTATTACTTATCAATTCATGCAGCAAGATCTTAACACAGTCCTCCATTTCACCTTTTTTTTCACCTGGTCCTGCTTCTACATAATTATGTTAACATGATGTCAAGTACAAGCAAGTTAGGCTTGACTACATTTATTTTTTTTACTTAAATAGAATTGTTCACCCAGACTAAAGGTTGGATAGACAAATGTTATGCAGATGGATTGTTCTCTGTCTGGCTAGGAAGAACTCCTGTTGTTGTCCTTTTTAAACCAGAATATGTTGAGGTATTACTTGATCTTGTATATCTACGTGTAAATGAATAAAATTTGTTTCCGGTGAAATTTGACTAACTATTTGGCCGTCTAAAATTTCATCTGTAACTTTTTTTCTGTAACATACTAAAAATTATGCATAGTGTAAATGGTTAAATCAATCGGTAGGCAAGAGCATTTCACCGGCATCGCAAAAGTGTAGGTTCGATTCCTCCCGGAGGACCTATAATCGAATCATTTTTCCATCAACTGCTCCTGCATTGAATTTGAAGTGTATATAATTCCACTCGAAATTAAGACCCTTTGAACCTCTATAGTGTAAATGGGGCGATAATGACTAAATTAATTATCACTACATCGAGTCTTACATATATTTTTATTATTTTTCTATTTCAATTATGTTTCTACTAGATATTATTAGCAAGTCAGAAAAACATCACTAAAACACCACTTTACATTTTTCTCCATTCATGGCTTGGAACAGGTATACGATCTTCTTAGTAATTATAAGCAAAACATTGTGAGATGGATAGATATTGGGAGGGTGCAAGGAGGTTCACATTGCCTTAAAAATTTTACACTCTCCTAGGAGAATGCACTAGCTTCCTCCTAAAGAAAGCAAATTGTCAAAGATCAGGAATTAGGGGCATGGTGACTATCAATATTTGTGATGCAATTGACCGTAACGAAAAAGATGGCGGCATGTACATTTTACCAGAATACATTGCGGGCATTTAGAATGATTGATTGAAAAAAGATGGCAAAAAAAACACCTAATGACGTGAAATTTTAACACAGCGAAGAAAATAACTTCCTGTTTTATGCCTGTCCTTTAAAATATGTCAGGTTGCTTTTTTAAACGATTTCCGACCGAAATGCATTCTGGTAAAATGTACATCTGCTATCTTTTTTTTATGGTCAATTAACGTACTTCCGCCCAGTACGTGCACAATCTTTATATTCAGCAAAAAAGTGCTACATTCTTTTTCAATAGCATATTAATACAAGAAAAAGACAAAACCCAATGATCGAAAGGCTTGAAACTTGTATAACATAAATTATTAAACTAGTGAAATCGAAATATTTCTGCTCGTTTGTTCATAAAACGGATAATTTTGTTTTCTGTTTTGGTTTTATCCTTCGTTTATAAAACTAAACGGCTCTAAACCACTTTTTGAACAACCGTTCGTGAAATTCCATATTCTTTTTGTTTCCAGGTCTTTTAACCAGGTTAGTTGTATTAATTTATTCACGCGCGTGATGGTGTTGTATTATATTTTCGCAAAATTGTTTCTTAATATTGTTTTACAATGCAGCTACCAGTTGTTAGTTTAGCGTTTGTGGATTGTGATTGGTCATACAATTCATGAGAGCGAGGCTCTCAGACATAGTGACGTCACTGGAGAAAATGTAAATTTTAAACTTTCATCCTTTCCCTGCAATTTTACGATGCAGCCCCTTTTTTTTAGCCGTCAGTTAAAAGTAAGCGGTTGAGATATCCATTCACTTTCTTTTACAGCACCGGTAACAAATGGAAATCTCGTCGAAGGCTTCTCACTCCAACATTTCATTTCAAAATTCTGAATGACTTCGTTTCTATTCACCAAAAACAATCTGGTATCATGGTTGAATTACTTCAGGTATTCAGCATGTGAATCACAGTTGAATACATCTATACTTGTAATTCAGTATAAGCATCGGTTGAATACTTCCCACAGTCCTTTGCGCGCTTGCTCAAGCAAATCGCTTTCAATGAAATAGCTACGTAATACGGCTTTCAACCAAAATCGCAGCTGATTGGTGAATACTTAGCAAAAGGGTAGCAACGGAACCAGTAATGAAAATTGAGCATTATTTATGTGTAAAAAGTCGCTTTTGAGCATTCCTTGGATGTTTTCTACTTGTTAGCGGATATTTTGTTAATGCCATGCAGAACAAAGTGTTATATTTCCGATATTTTTTGCAGAAAAAATGGTGAGATTAAAATTATTTAAATTATATAAGCGGTATCCTTTTTTCGTCCTTGATTAAGGTATAAGTGCGTAAATAAAACAATTTATTGTTGACCAAAATTAAAGATCACAAAGAACGTTGCAAAATGACCCAAATGTTACTAATAAACATGTATAAATTATACTGAATTTTCATCGCCGGTTATGTTGCTACCCTGTTTCTAGGATTGACCAATCAGCTACGATTTTGATTGAAGGCCGTATATGCTTGCGTGCCAACAACTAAAAGCTTTATCTTCATTTGAGATTATTCAATTTTTTGATCCAGTGAATAGACGTCATTTTCAAGCAAATTGAAGCAAATTACGATTTCAAAATGCAAATAAGTGACTACGTTTCAAGGAATTCAACAGTTACTACGTTACTTGGTAACGTTCCACTTTGAAAATTAACCTTTTTGCCATGCGCAGTGCAATTTGAGTTATTTATCATACTTAAGCGACAGTCGTATTTCTCTAGCAGCATATCAATAGTTTTCCCCGCTCCCACTATCAATGGTCCTGTTTTATTTATTACTTTTATAGTGTCCATATATGCATCACAAAATGACCGTACTAAAAATGTCTGTGATCGAAATTTGTTTTGTTTTCTCTCACTTAGTCATTGGTGTCCAAATAGTCATGTCTTTAAAAGAAGGCAGAATTCTGTTTGCCCGTTCGTAATTTCCTGTTTGTTGATTGAATCTCACTGATTTTACTGCTTCTCGTCTATCTTTTAACCTCTTAATCTGTTCTATCATGTATTGTCTCATGTATATGGTCATTATTTTTTATTTATTGAAGGCAAAAGCTGATAAGGGTGAATTTGATATAGCTCCTTACATCACGCTCTGTGTCTTGGATATCATATGTGGTAATCTTTTTTATCTTAGCTGTATAAATCGCAATAATAAAGAATTAGAGATTCTGGGCAACTGTTTTCCACAGTTTTGGCCATTCACCTAGTGCTGGGAAGAACATTAAGGTTAATTCTTAGGACTGCATAACTACGGCGTCTAGCTAGGACACTTGCATGGTGACTGTCGAAACAAATATTTCATAATTCAAACTGTGCATTCCTGGGACATCTGCTAATTTCAATATATTCCATGGTAACATTGTATTGTCCACTCCAACGCTACACATGTGGAAGGATTTGTTACACTACATGCAATAGACTCTATGCATAATGACGTAACAAACCGTGACGCATGTAGGGAATTCTGGTCTTTTTGGTCTGGGCTTAAAAATTTCCCGCTGTGACTATACTTCGCCCAAAGATCCTTGCATGCCTCACAGCTGTTACATGATTATACATAAGCGGTCCATTTTAAGTCCATTTTCAGTGCCGTATATACTGGTGATATCAGCATTTTAATCGTGCCAATTTTGACAACTTATCCATGATAGTGTGTTCAAGTCAGTCACAAAAATATATTCTTCCTACTGTAGTAAATGAATTTTGTGCAGAAATTATTTTTGTACGTAACAAGTATAGACGTGCATCCTGAGCTTCAAAAATCAGAAAAATTAGTCATGCGCTCGTGATTTGTATGTTTTCTAATTTTTAATCATCGGTAAATCCCATAATTAAACTCGACGATCTTAACTTTTCACTCCTCAAATTGTAGAAACGTCAATGGGTATCGACATCAAAGCTCAATATGGCAGTAATCCAGAATATACAAAAGCCGTGTTCAGGTAAGGTACTGTTTTTTTTTCTTATTGAATTACGTATGTAGTGTATGATCTCATCTAAACCGAAAACCAGTAAGAATCTCTCTATATATGTAAACTCTAAAACCATCAAACGCAAACAGTAATCCCAATAATTTATATGATATAAGATGGGCTTACGTGTGAGCACAATTGAGGCGAGAAAACAGTCCAAACGCACGCAGAATAGGTAGATAAAACACTGGAAACCACAATAATATAACAATGGAGTTGACGTTCGCGGGCATAAATGTCTTTTTTTCCCGACACTAAATTCATTTAGGGAAAATTTTTTTTCTCTTCAGCACGTGTGAACTTATTCAAGAACGTCAAAAGTCACCATGGCTTTGGCCCGATTTTATATATAATATAACGTCATCTGGAAGAAGCCATCAAAAAGCCTTGAATGTTCTCCATGGTTTCACAAACCAGGTATTTATAGAGTAAATTCACTTTTATCAGTTTTGCATGCGATTGATTGACGTGTCCTAAAAATAGTACAACAAATCATCATCCTTCCCTTCAGTTTTATATGTTTGTGTCAATTACATTAGTTCATCCTTTTTCGTTATACCTTAGTAATTATTATCCATTTACTATGAGTGATTTTCTTATTTTTTAGCAGTGGCAAAAATTACCACTACGATAGTTATATACATTAAATTATGCCTTGTAATAATCAGCTTACGAACTGCGACATTTAATTGTCTGTACAGTAAATTATAGCAAACCTCTGCATTGACCTCGCTATAGCTTGGTCAATACACCATGAACACGGTTTGATATTTCCCCATTGACCTCCTACTAAGTTAGCAATTTCTGTAGGTAGTCTGTATGTTCGTTCCAATGTTATTTGTCAAGGATTGTAGCTATCAATTTAGAATCTAGAGAAACTTGTTCGCGCTTTAGGAACACACCGTAGCGTAGCCAGCCTGACGATTGGTCCCCTTATGCTAATATTTTGGTGTTCATTTACTGTGAAAACAATGAATTTCAAAAGAAATGAATAATTATAATAACACAAAATTTACATATAGCGACCGGAACAACTGAATCGTCGATTGGGCACTACGCCACTGGGGACACAATGAACATTATATTGCCGTGAACTACAGGGTGTAGAAAAAACGAAAACTATTGAAATCACCCATAACAATGCAATTGTTAGAGTTTTAATGCCTAAGCACTCTGTTGGGACTCACAGGTGTACATAAAAGTTTGCCATGCATACGCATTTTTATGCATGTATATGATGCGGTAAAATTTGTTTGTACACAAAAATAATATTTATTATTAATAACAATATTTACAATTTACAAAATATGGATAACAACATTTAAATCTCAATGAGGTGCATCTCAAGGACCATGACTTTCGCAATGTCCCCTTTCTCTAGCCACACAAAGTATTTAGCATTTTATAAGTTGCATTAAATCCTCACGGGCTGAAATTCGTGAGCACAGCATTCAAATTTTAACAATGAGTGATTTCAATAGTTTTCGTTTTTTTCAGACACCCTGTATGCTGTTTATGCATGAATTATTGTACGGAAACGATTTTTTTTTATCAAAGTTTTCTCTTTAAGGTGATTAACGACCGTATCGAGCAACGAAAATTATGGAAAACAGAGAATTTCGATGGTCCTGACGATAGGGCGATATATTCGTCTAGTAATCGTCGTATTCGGGCATTTTTGGATCTTTTATTAGAGGAATATGATCAGGGAAATATAACGAAGGAGGGCGTCAGAGAAGAAGTTGATACATTCATGTTTGAGGTACTTTGATCTGATTCATTCTTTTACAAATCTGAGCCTTTTCTCCATTCAGATTAGCTTTAATATCAACGATATCAGTCTAACCTCTGTTTGGGATCTTTTTTTTTCCTAAAGCGAAGCTTTTCTTAAAGAACTTGAGATAGCGACGCACTAAGTGAACAGTCTTTCCTTGCAGGGTCATGACACAACAGCAGTTTCATTACAATGGATCATTCATCTTCTTAGTATTAATCCTGATGTTCAATCACTCTTGCAACGAGAAGTAGATAATTGGTATGGTAAGTTTCACTATTTCTTTTTTCTGGGCGTTTCTGATAAAATTTTGTTACAAGGTTCGCCTAAGAATATCCAGAGTCAACCTTGTACCCAGTGTTTTATTACCTACGCTCCCTGGGTACGAGGTTGATCCACAGTATGAAACAAATGAAAAACCGTCGCCAGCAATGTCAACACTGAATTCGTTCATATAAAGTACCCTTCATTGGCGGATCTATGGGTGTGCAGAATAAATTACACAGCTAAATTTTAAATTCAAATCACCTTAGTAAAAACGCTATTGGTTATAGATTTGAAAAAAATATTCTACATGAAAATCTACCAAAGCGATTCCGGTTTTATGTTGTAGTAATTTATTCTGCACACCACTAGGTCCGCCACTTTGAAGTTGTACCACAGCAGTCTCATTTAGTAGCTACGGTAAGGCGCAAAAATTTTACCACCTAAGATTGACTTGAACAAATCTGCACGAAATTGGTTGTGCCAATATTACTTTTCCCTATTTTGTATAAAAAAATGTTGGCAGCAGTGTCAACACTGAATTCGTTTATATAAAATACCTTTTTGAAGTTCTATCACAATTAATCTCAATTTAGTAGCTACGGTATGGCGCAAAAATTTTTGTATTCAAGATTGACCTGAACGAATCTACACTCTCGTACACTATGAAAAGAAGAAATGCGCATGCAACAAAATGTTCAGGAAAATAGCTGGGGTGAACACATCTTAAGTAATATTTTGATGAAGCAATCGATAATGGTATTTTGTAGAATCTTTACCGCCTGATGGAAAAATTAAACCTGAACAACTTAAGGACTTAAGTTATCTGGAATGTGTCGTGAAGGTGAGATATAATTATACTAATAATGAATGTTTTCGTGAGGTGAAAGATTGAATAGCAAAGCCGACTTGAATGGAAAATTCCATCTTTTACCGAAATGAAAATGTACTTTCTTCTGCAGAAATAAATAAATCTATTATTATTAAAATATTTAGTAAGGGAACATTTTTTATTAATTTTATAAATGATAATCGCATTGTCCATACTATTTGGATTCATGATCAAAATTAATGCGCGCGAGCGTTACCTGTAGGAACTGGGTACGATCGATATTGTGAGTTATTGGAAACTTGCAATGGAATACTGACTAATATAGAGTACCGACTAATATGGAGTATATTTTAAGAGAAAAGTCAATTCAAACATTTGCATGCCAGGCTAATTTGCATTTGTTTCCCTTGTAGGAGGGATTGCGATTGTTTCCGTCTGTACCTCTCTTTGGTCGTGAATTGACGGAGGAATGTAAATTCGGTAAGATTTTTTTACAAAGCAAAGTGACATGCAGCGCTGCTGATAATTATAATAATCCGAGAATGAACTAGTTTATCTTGTGGGATGATTTCAGCTTCATTTCTAGCCATGCATAACTCTTAGTGATTGAACTGAGTAAAGTGAGAGGAAATGGTTCAAAAGTTGAGCATTTAGGAACTCCCGATTTAACTGATACTTATTCGCTATTATTCTATTGTAAACAACGAGTGAAGCAACAACTAATAATATAAAAACCTTTAAAAGTTGTTGACAGTCCCGGCATGCATATGCATGGGAAATTAAACCAAGGTTTTGTTTAGCTAGTTTTGCCAAACGAGCATGCAGGCATTCATATTTCTCGGGTCAGTTGTATAAAAGACTAGTTAATTTTTTACTGTAGTTAAGGACAGAATTGGACGATCAGAATCGTGTATTTCTGAGTTAACTAGGATTTGATTGTGTGAAATTTAGTTAAAGAGTTTAATACAACTGGCACTTTGTTTTCAAAGGTCATCGACGATCGGCGAAGGCTTCTGTCATTGATCACTATAGACTAAAAGCGCTTTGCTAAATATTTAAAATAAATTTTCTTCGTCGCATTTACCTGCAATGCATCGCCGAGTGCTTGCCGAGGACCAGGCTATGTACGATGTGCGGGTTTCGACGCTATGCATGGAGTTAACGCTCTGAAGACTGGAACAATAACTGACGGTTGTCTCATATTTGGAATATTTGGCCACTATCTTTGAAGCTATAATCTCAAACTAAATCGGGCACAAATGCCAGTTTCTTTCTATTGTTTTTGTTTGCGCGATCGTCGTTGTGGAGACAAAACAATGGAATTGACTAGTGGTCCACTACGGTGTCTATAAAATTGGCTTCCATGCAGAGGCGACCGATTTATCGTTCTCTTTCACATAGAGGGTCACTGGGCTATGGTGATTCTTTTTTCTCATGTCGCTAACGCATCATGTGTAAAATGTCTAAACAATAAGATTTTTCAGGTCATACCGTGTTCCTGAGAGGATGTAGCATTATTGTGGCTTTAATGGGTTTGCATCGTAATCCTGAAGTATGGGAGATCCAGAGACGTTCATCCTGACGATTTCTTTCAGAAAATAACGTTGGAAGACATCCTTTTGCCTATGTTCCTTTTTCTGCTGGACCAAGAAACTGCATTGGTGAGTAACAAATAATTATATGAATAGTCATATTCCGTGCATATTAACCAGTCAGATTGCGTGCTTCACTGTAGTTATTACATGATGAAATTTCTAGCTATTGCTAAGAATTCATGTTATTGTATGAAATAGATCAATCCTTGAAGCCTAGCCTTGAAACATTGATGCTTAGAAAAAAACGTTCAAAGTGTTTTGTAAACATTGAAATATATTACTGTTCTGGATAGATTCTGGATATATTTTTTGTGAAATATCTAAAGAACGTGAGAATTGAACGAACCGTTTTCTATATTATTTATCGATATATGCAAATTAAATCTTTATCATCGCTATTATTATTAGCGTAATAAAATTACTGGATGCAGATTGATCAAGAGGAGTACAATTAATTCATCAAGTATTTTATTAATTGTACTGCAGTACAATTGTCATTAATTGATGATTTTGCCCAGATAAAAAAATGGCGGAAAGTTATTTGCATATACAAACTAAACAGTCTTGATGAACTGAAAAGGCCAAAAAGGAAAACGCAAATACTGTCCAAAGTACAAAATAATGGACAAATGTCTGGCAGGACTGTATTAATTATCGTGTTTGCATTGAAAATTACGCCCGAAAGTTCGTATTAAAACGCTCCCAATGCTAACATGTTAATAATAAAAACTAGCCCCGGCAGCTCGTCCAATTTTTACAAAATTTTCAAACATCACTCGTACTATTAATCGTACTAATTAAATTCGTACTATTCTACTCACCATCGCATCATGATACCTATATTTATTCATGTGGATTTTCGTTGCAGGGCAAAGATTTGCTATGATGGAAGACAAAATAGTATTAGCATCCATCATACGTCATTTTAATATCAAGTCGACTCAGTCGTCTGATGATATTAGGAAAAGTGCAGAAATTATTCTGAAATCCACAAGTGGTATTATGGTGGAGTTGGAAACAAGAATTTTTTAAACATGTTCGATGCCGCTCTTCTAAAATTGAAATTACTGACCTCTACAGACGACCTAGACCCACTGAACTCTCACGTAACTGGATTGATAACTGGTGATGAACCTGGCTCACATTTGAATGTCCACATCAAACGATTTCTATGAATTTAGGCTGAAATACCTGACACTCAAACATTAGGTGTTATAAAACAATGTTTTCGTAATAGTATCATATTTTTGGCGAGGTTTTTTCGGCTTTTGTAAGAATTCTCTCCTTATTAAGCCTTTCCAGCTTTGAACTTGAAGAATGCTTAAAAATTAAGAAAATACCAAAATCTACGCTTTAATAACTAGGCCAGAGATTTAAGATTAAACTCATTCAAATTATTTATGCATGCAGCTGTCAAATTGTGAAAAATCTTTGGGTATTGAAGTCACACAATAGAAAATACTGACACATGTAAATGAACGATTGCTGCGGCTAAAACCAACATACATGCATGTCTTAGCATTTAGCTACGTCTGAACTAATCTGGTATAGGGTATCCCCAAATGCAGACAAGATTGGGGAAACAAAATTTTATGAACCCATGCAGTGTAAATTAGGCTTTACAACTGGTTATAGTATAGTATATAACTCTCGTGACGAAGGTCCTTAGGTTGAAACGTCGAGAAGTATTTTTTCTATTTTAGACAGTTGTTATACCACATTTGATGCTAAGTTCTCCTGTATCAGTAGTATATTCCGTATGTTCTCATCGGTGCTGCCAGCAAAAAATGCCATTGGCGCACTTTTGTTCAAAGAACTCAACAAAGTCAAAAACGGGATCTATATACAATTTTACAAACAAAACCGAACAACTTGAGATATTTCGAAATAAATATATATAAAAAAATATAAATCGAAAATTTTTGTTTTAGGTCTATACTTATATTCTTAGTTTTGAGATGGCTTATGCTTCAGAATTTGGAATTTTTCATATTCAATTTGCTGAAGTTGAGATATTTATTTCACTATTATGACTTATGTGCTTGGCCTTCGCAAGTAGATTCACAGTTTGACTCCTAAAAACCCGGTAGCGTTGAAACTAAAGTTGAAAGTTTTACACCGGCCCTATCAAACTGAAAGGTTCCTCTTTCTCATTTACCTTTTAAGGATCGACACATTAACAAATATAACCCGGCAATATATGAAAGGTCTTTTCCGCATTCAAGGCGTATAAATCAGTGCATGGAACTGATGGAAGTGCCGAGTGCAACATTTAAAATAGGCCTTAAATTGTAAACCATTATACATTGTTTCATCCGATTTTATCATTCATGTATATGCTTATTAGTATAATTTTTATATAAAGTCAATACACCTGTTATACCTGAATAAAGCAATGCATGATTTGTTTACTAACCTTTAGCGGATGGAAAATTAAACATAAGTGATTATCATTCAGCAAACAATACTATAGTTAGGAATTATATAGTATACCTTTTACGGTATTTTCAGTCCGTTCTCATTGACATCTTAGCGGAACAAAATCTGGGGTAGATAAACAACTATTTTGTACTGTAGCTGTATAGGTAAGTGTGTTTTCTTGCTTAAAGTTTATAGTTTATAACTCTAAATTCAATATTACGGCAAAATTTCTATTACCGTCGTGTGTAAATATATTTATTCGTCTCGTATGTATTATCCACTTCATTTTTTTTCTTCAATCTGCCCGGAGAAATTTACACTAGCGACTTGCGGCTATAGAGCCTGTATATATGTCTACTGATTTTCCGCCTCGTGAGTTAAGTCCGGTGTGAGAATCAAACCAATCATCAGAGGTAAAAGGGAGCTCCCTGCTCTGCGGTTGTTCAAAATTAACAGCCTTTATTTAAAAATCCGTTAAAATAAGGCCAAAAGTCACATAAACCAAAGTTTATATATTATTTCGTACATCATGTGAATGACTGAACCTATACATCTTATATGCATTTAATTTCATGCATTGGAAATAAAATAATCGTTTTGAAAGGAACACAAGGCAACGATCGAATTACATCTGTTTGCTCAAATGTTTGCTACTCTGCATTCATTATGTAATCTGGCTCAACAGGCAATTGCTAAAGCACAACAGACAATATTGTTTATTGCCACGTTTTCTTCAGAAAATCCTCACAGATGACAAGCACGAATACGATATTCGCCATTTTGCTGTTTTTGAACACGTTCGTGTGGACTAGCGGAAACAAACAGTTTCACAAAGCCAAACGATCGACGGCACATGGCCACGACCTACACAAGGATCACGTGATATTCCTTGGCGAGGAAGCCGCTCGTGAGTTTTACGGATTAACACAGAAGGAGTCAATAAGAAGACTTCGGTAAGTTCAAATCAAACTAATTTACGAGTGTCATTCTTCACTAGAAACAATCTATTTCAAACGATTCTAATCAGTATGCAGAACGAGTATATATGAATATCCCCCCGTACCCCACAAGCAGACACTTAAGGATCTTCCGCGGCTCCTGTCTTGGGAGGAAGTGTGAAAATGTGAAAATCCTCTCTGTTTATTTCAGAATGCTTGTACCTCGTATTGACATAAATAAGGATGGATATGTAGACGATAATGAATTAACAATATGGATACGTCACAAGTTACAACCTTGGACTGTCCACGAGGACATTGATGCAATATTCCATGACATTGATGCTGATTATGATAATCAGATTACTTGGGATGAGTACATGAAAAATATTTTTGGATTTATTGAAAGTGGTAAATATTCAAATTAAACAATACAAAATGTAGTTAATTTCATTCGAATTTCCGCAGCATGTTTCCATTAATTATGCTTTCGAGAATAATTTCTCTGATGTTCATGTTTCAGAAAAGGACAAGAAGTGGAGCAGAGAAAATTTGTATAAATACATAGAAGATGATCGTTTAAAGTGGAAGTATGCG